TTTTGTCAAAGGCTATTTGATTTTACATATTGGATTTGGTCTCCTTGTTGGTTTTAGGGGACACCTTGATCTGGGCATAACAGAAACATCTTCAATAAATAGTTCTAGGCATTATTTGTAATAGCCAGAACTTGGAAGCAACCTAGATGTCCCTCAACCGAAGAGTGGATAGAGAAAATGTGGTACGTTTACACAATGGAGTACTATTCAGCAGAAAAAAACAATGGAATCATGAGATTCGCAGGCAAATGGATGACACTAGAAGAAACCATCCTGAGTGAGGTAACCCAGTCACAAAAAGAGAAACATGGCATGTACTCTCTCATATATGGATTTTAGACATAGATCTGGGGAGTGCCAGCCTACAATCCTATGGCCAGAGAGTCTGGGAAACAGAACTTCATTTAATGGCTGATGGAAGAAGAGGCAGACTCCTTTGATTAAGTACTAAGCTGAACTCAAGAAAGCCAGTAACAGAGAGGGAGGACTGATGATCAAAGGGATTAAGAATGGGCTGGTTTAACCCCCAGAAACAGCTGACCTGCTAAGGGTTAGCTCTTGAATCCCTGACTGATGCCTGGGAATCCAGCATGGGACTGATCAAGACCCCCTGAATGTGGGTGTCAGTGAGGAGGCGTAGGTAATCTATTGAGCCTTGGGTAGTAGATCAGTATTTATCCCAGGTATACAAATGGACTTTGGACTCCCATCCAACAATAAGAGATGCATTCTCACCCTGAACTCTTGGGGGAGGGTCTAGGCCCTGCCCTGGATGAAATGACAGACTATAGACACCCCCATGGAGGGCCTCACCCCCCTGGGAAAATGAGGGGATATTGGGAGGGTTGGTGGGAGGGCACGGAAGGAGGGGAGGGAAACCGAGAGGGACCTGGAATTGACATGTGAAGCAACCTTGTTTCTAATTTAAATTTATATATATGTATATATATATAAAACATTAACAATAGCAAGATAGGGAAAACATAATAATATCTGATATAAGCTTAAATTTTCATAAGAGGATTTACTGCCAATTCTACACATAAAACTGGTTAGAAAAAATAGGGAAATGGCAGGATGAAAAAACAATATTTTATGCAGGTAAATCATAATTAATGTTCCAGCTATAGATTGGACTGTTTCCAAGGTATTAGCAAAGTGTCCCACCCCCACCATTGTGTGTTTTTGGGCTTTCTCAAGACACATAACCTTAAGTCCATAACAACAATGAAAGCAATAACTATTAGGGTCTCATGCTCAACGTCAGTCTGGCAGCCCTGTGCATCCTATGAGCAGTGCTCTGCTCTAGTCTGTTCGAGTTGTTGAAATCATCCAGGGATACTAGTCGTTGAAATCAGTATGTATTTGTATATCGAAGTTTTTTAAATCAGGTTGAAACTCTACTTTGAATTTATAATTACAGATTGGTGTGTCTGATTTCAATGGCTGAGAAATTGTGTGTGGATTTTGACATAACCTCAACAGAGGGGATATTAATGGGTAATTTCAAACACTTGCAATTTTCTTGTAAAGAGATGAAATTCTTGCTCATGCATTAGCAAGTAGTTTTTCTTTTTCTCTCTTAGAACTTTTTTTACAAGAGATGTGAGACGTGAACTACTAAAGCTAAAATATCTGTGTAATAAATGTAATTTTTTAATTTGGTAGAATGCTCCTGCTTCGTAGATCAAAGCTTCTGCATGTAGCAGCTGTGTACTGTGGGTAAAACCCAACAGGCAGAGCTATGGAGTGTGTTGGCAGTGACTAACATCAGGCAGGAAGTTGCATGAAGGGAAGAGGTAAAGACACTAGGGCTCAGCTTTGGACAGATTTATAAGTCAGATAGAAATTTTTAAAAATCATGTTATTTCAAAAAAAAGGGCAGTCATCATGAACAAAGGAGTTTCAAATAGTCTGGACAAAACCAAGTAGGTAAATAAATTCTATGAAGAAATGCTGCCTGATGCTCTGGCAGAGTGTTGGACTACATATGTGGTTGTTAAATTCAAGATGAAAAGAATTTAAAAATGAAAGAAAAACAGAAAAGGAGTTTAGATTCTACTTTGCAAAGACCTGGAATTTTACATTTGAAGGGGATCCTTTTTCGTTGATTATCTTTTTTTGAGATTACAATTACATTTCTCCTTTCCCTTACCTCAGGAAATACTCAGGAAATACTGAGATGGACATGCTAAGAAACTCCTCAGTATAGGCTTCTTGAATAAAATCCTCCATTCTGCTTTTATTTTGGAAGCATACTGCCTCTGGTTTTACTACCTGTCGTAGGGAAAAAGTGTTTCTCCCTTTATGTTTTGATTGTGTTTGCTATGGCTTTGGGTTCAGTAAGATGGCAATGTATAGCATTTGGTTATGTAGGTATGATATACACAAATCGTATGAGCACCATGAACAGATCCTTACACAGGATAACAATCAATCAAAAAAATCAGCCCAATGCTCACAGTGTTGGAATTACCAGACTCTGGTTTTATGTAACTCTGCTTAAGAATATAAAGAAACTGGGGTCATCCTTGTAAATTCCTGGGAGTTTCCCTTGCACCAGGTTTCTATTTGACTCTGAAATGCCCCCCCCCTTTCTAGGGTTCTCTTTCAGTGCTCTGCCCTCCACCTCCCTACCAGATCCTCATGTTCCTGTCCCTATATGCCACCAACACACCCACAAAATCTCCTCCATTTCCCCATTCTCAGGCACATCCTCCTTGTTATGTAGCCTCTTTGGACCTGTGGATTGAAGCATGGTTATTCTTTACTTTACAGCTTATATCCATTTATAAGTGATTACATGCCATGTTTATATTTCTGGGTCTCCCAACTGGGTAGGGGAGTAGCATGGAATGAGGGTCCTCAAAGACTAGGCAGGAAAGGATTCAGCGGTGACAGACAGAAACAAACAAAAGAGGCAGTTTGAGTATGAGTGTATTTTGCAGTTCTCAAGCAAGGGGATGTTTCTCTGAAGCAAACCCAAACAGATAACATTATTGGTACTTGGCACAGTAATGCAGAAATTCAACACATAAAGTTGTTCAGGGTTAATCAAAACACAGAATCATCCTTGGTTAATCAAAACATAGGACTGTCCAAGGCTTAACCACATATTTCTTAAATCAAATTAATAGATTTTTATGGTCAGTTATTGTTTAGCCTCTATTACCTAGTTCTTGTGAGTTTTTAAAATATTGAGCTATTTTAACTATTTTAGCTCTTTCTTATTAAAAGCTTTCTTTACCAAACATTTAAGCCCACTCACAATGACACATGTACAGCCATATGAAATTTTGTTGTTGGGGACATTTTTACTATTTGCACTTATGAGAATGACATGAATGATTTAGAAAGCATTGGTTTTGAGGGAGATGAGGTCATGGCTAGTGACCCCATCTAGGGGATGCTTTCTTTTCTATATCTCTCACTTGAGATGTCAGCCTAGGCTTTCGGAACATTTTGTTAATATGGGAAAGGAATAGAAGAACAAACAGAAATTGCCACGAGAATCACAGCCCAATATTTTTCTCTGGCTGAGAGTTTCATAACCAGTTCCAGGAGGCCTCCTTCTTTTGAAGTTATCATCTCAATCTGTGGAACTTGTCACACAGAATCTACTGGATGTGCTGTGACAGGTCTGGGTTAGCTCACCCAAGATAATTTTTCTAGTTCTATCCATTTACCTAATGACATTGTTTTTTTAGTAGCTGAGAAATACTTCATTGTGTAAATGCACCACATCTTCTTTATCCATTTCTCAATTGAGGTGCATGTAGGTTATTCCCAGGTTCTAGCTATTACAAATAAAGCTCCTATGAACATAGTTGAGCATGTGTCCTTTTGGTATGATTGAGCATCCTTTGGGGAATCCTGCAGAAAAGACAGAGAAAGCATCGTAGGAGCCAGAGAGGACAATGACATCACAAGAAAATTCATGGATTCAACCAGCCTGGGCTCATAGGAGCTCATAGAAACTGAACAGGCAACCAGGGGGCTCGCATGGGACTGACTTAGGCCATCTGCATATATGAGACAGCTGTATAGCTTGATATTATTGTGGGAGCATGGACTGTCCCTGACTCTTCTGCTGGCTTTTTTGCTATCCCTCATACTGGGTTGCTTTACCCAGCGTTAATAGCAGGGGAGGTGCTTAGTCTTACTGCAACTTGATATGCAATGTTTTGTTGATATCCATATCCATGGTAGGCCTGCTCTTTTCTGAATAGAAATGTATGAGTGGATTGTGGGGTGCAGAGGGGTGCAGAGGGGTTGTAAGGAAAGGAGGGAGGGGGACACTACAGTCAGAATGTAAAATAAATAATTTTATACAAATATGATATGTTTAAATTTCATCTTTGACCATTAAAGACTTCTTTTTGTCTGAAATTTTTAAGATACATAAAGAAACACTGCTTAAAGTAAATAAAAGTACAGAAAAATCCAAAATTAAAATGCACCTTATTAAAAGGAAATATAGAAATTTTAGAACAGAAAAACTGTCTGGAAGAATATAGGCTTGATTGATGACTTGGTATGGTAAATGAAACACCAAAAAACTGGAAAATAGATTAACACCATTATTCATCCATCCAAGGGAGCACAGATTGACAGGTTAACAGAGCATCAGAGTATTGATGTATTGTGGGGCAATTTCACTAGATCTATACAAATATGCTCTATAATATCCTAAGACAAGGGATGAAAAATAAAATGGTTAAAAGAAAATATTTGGCATGTGAACTAAAAGTTCCTCAAATTTTGTGAATCAGAAAATAACACAAGAAGCTTATCAGAACTGAAGAAGAACACACACATCAAAAGAACTCATTCCCACACTCAGCAACATCTGGCTTAAATAATTACATACAAAACTACAGCTGCCTTAAAATCAATTAGGCATGTACCAAGTTCAAAGAAAACTATTATGTATCATCATGCTGATATAACACACAGTTGTGTCACATATGGACACTATTTCACAAGACCTGTGGATAGAAATGCAGGTCTGTATCTTCAAACTTCTAGCCTTCCGTAAGCAATGATGTGATAGAAACCAAAAAGGAATGTGAAAATCTAGTGTCTGCATCACATTCTTTAGAGAAAACAATAATTAATGTCCAGTTCTAGGCATTTTAATTTATGCTTTGTGACAGCAAAGGGAAAGTACATCTTTGCAACTGAGAAAACTGTTGCTGAAGCTATTTCTGTGATTAGCATACTCAAAATATAACCTATAACTTAGAGCTTGGTGCTGCTGCCACCAAGACTGAAAACAGGTATGGTTTCCACACTCTGGTCTAGAAACAGAGGTAACTATTTTTTTAGAAAAATTCAGGGTTTTTTTCTCTAAAGTCTTTTACCTGGTTAGATCATGTCTACAAGAATTTTACAAGTTAATTTGTTGTCCTTGCATATTTTTACTGACTTGCAAGTTAGTCACATTTTAGTAACATCTTCACTATACTATCTACCCATGAGTTGGCCATTTTAACCTGGTCATGTTGATACATAAAGTTAACTAACATGAATGGCTGAGCGTCTATATTATCAGTGAAGTAAGCAAAGAAATTCCAATAAGAAGGTATTCTGGTACTCTTCTTCAGCACGCTGAGAAAGAAAAGATGCAAATAGGCAAAAAGGAATGTTTGAATTGATCATAGTTTTGAGTATCAAGCTGTCCTCTGATGTCTGTGAGGAATTATTTTCTGGACCATCCATAGATCCAAAATAGAAAATGTTATATTCTCTTACAATGTAGTTCATATGTGAATTGACATGTAGCCTACACACATTCTTCCACATAAAATTATTTCTAAGTTACTAAAAATACTTGATGCTAGATGAACACTGCATAATGACTGCTATACTGTTTAGAGAATAATGGGAAGAAAGGGTTCCCTGTACATGTTGATAACGTGCAATTATTTTAAAATAGTTTCAATATATGGTTGGTGAAATAAATAATAGGATAACCAAGGGTATGGAGGGCTGTGTTTTAGCAATTCAAAACCATTTAATTTTGCAATTGCTTAAGTTTTTTTAATTTTCTATTTTTTGTTATTATTTGTCACATTTTTTTCTTTTCTCAAAAGCTTTATTCTTGTAGTTACAGGTAAAATTAAATTTTATTGTTGAATGTCAAACACCTTCAAGGCTATATTTTTCTGATTTTATTTTTTTAATTTCTAATTTTTATTTTTATTTTTAAATAAAACAAAGTTGATTCACTTGTCAATCCCAGCTCCCTATCCCTCCCCTCCTCCCGAACTTCCCACCAGCCCTCCCAGCCTCCCACCCTATTCACTCCCGTCCCCATAGGGGAGATCCAGAGTCTGTCATTTCATTCAGGGCAGGGCCTAGGCCCTCTCCCACAGGTCCAGGCTGAGAGAGCATCCTCAATTCACAATGAAGATGTATACAGTGAGACAAGCCCAGAGACCGAGGAAGATGACTTCCCCGATGGTTACATAGAGTACATCATCAGAGGTGAGTTTTCTGAACCTATTTTGGAAGAGGATTTACTTTTTAAATGTTTCGAAAACCTAGAGAAAGCCGAGCAGGGCCTTTCTCTCCAGGTTCTTGATGCAAGTTCCCTTCTTGAAAGTTCTTTGGAATATGTGACTAAGGGTGCAAAGCAGGACAAAAGAGACTTGAAGCAAGTACAGCCTCAAGAGATTGTTGGAGCGAACTCAGCCCTTGAGTCTTCCAAGGACGTGACTAGCGAGAAACTTCCCGTCGAAAAATCATCATTGGAAACTGATTTATCAGATCATGAGCAGCTTGCGGAACCTCCTGCAGAGAAACCGAAGGGTGGTAAACACTGTGCTCCATCATCGATGCAGGAGTGTCCTCAGACAGGGTGCAGGAAGAAGCTGAGGAACAAGACCGCCCTGAGGAAGCACATGCTTGTCAACGGTCCCCGTCCGCATGTGTGTGCCGAGTGTGGGAAAGCTTTTGTAGAGAGCTCGAAACTCAAGAGACACCTTCTGGTCCATAGTGGAGAGAAGCCATTTCGGTGCACCTTCGAAGGGTGTGGGAAGTGCTTCTCGCTGGACTTCAACTTGCGCACACATATCCGCATCCACACTGGTGAGAAGCGCTTTGTGTGCCCCTTTGGCGGCTGCCAGAAGAGCTTTATTCAGTCAAGTAACATGAAAACTCACATCCAAATCCACACAAAGGCAGGGAAGAGATGCTGAAAAAAACCAAGACAGAGATTGTCCGCAGGTCGGGTAGTCTTAAATGAATGAGTCAATAGGGATATGTGCTTTGTGGATTATTGTTTCTAAGGGTGTGATTCCATCATGGCTAAGACAGTTTTGCAACTTAGAAAGCATACTCTTATTTTTTTATGCTTCATTATACCATCTTAAGAACATTTTTATATTTTGTGGTGTAGTTCCAATTGTAAAGTCAATGATGAGGTCGCTTCAAAAGCATAATCCTTTATGTATATGATGCATTATTGAATGTAATGAGGGTTTTTTGCATACTTCATAGAAAAGTCACTGATTTTTAATTATGCAGTTTCTAACTGCCTGCCTCTTACCTTTAAAAATGTGCTTCATGTAGATGAGATAATCCTAAAGAGTGGAAAATTTTGGCTGTAGTCAACAAACGAATGAGTTACTTACATGTTTTTATGTCAAACTATTAATCATAATTAAATGTGAGTGGTTATATAATAAAGTTGGCCATCTGAAAAAAAAGAAAATATTGTATTGTATGAATGTGCATATTTTGGGTATATGCCTAAGAGTGGAATTGCTGGATCTTGTGGTAGACTGATTTCCATTTTCCTGAGGAATCTCCATACTGATCTCCAAAGTGGCTGTACAAGCTGGCACTCCCACCAACAGTGAAGGTGTGTTCCTCTTTCTCCACATCCTCTCCAGTATACCCTGTAAGGACATCTGTTCAACTATATTCATAGCAGCATTATTTGTAATAGCCAGAACCTGGAAGCAACCTAGATGCCCCTCAACTGAAGAGTGGATAGAGAAAATGTGGCACATTTACACAATGGAGTACTACTCAGCGGAAAAAAAAAACAATGGAATCTTGAAATTTGCAGACAAATGGATGGCACTAGAAGGGACCATCCTGAGTGAGGTAACCCAGTCACAAAAAGAGAAACATGGTGTGTACTCACTCATATATGGATTTTAGACATGGAGCAGGGGAGTGCCAGCCTACAATCCCACCACCAGAGAGTCTGAGAAACAGGGAGAACCCTAAGAGAGATATGTGTGGTACTCCAGAGAAAGGGAATAGGACATGATCTCCTGAGGGGATTGGGAACATGAGGGGAGGGGAGAGGAAGCTGGGAGAAAGAGAGGGGGAGAAAAGGAGGAGAGAGGAGGACATGAGGGAGCAGGAAGTTTGAGTCAGGAGAAGAATAGAGGAGAACAGGATGAGAGATACAATAATGGAGAGGGCAACTATAGGTCTGAGAAGAGATCTGGCACTAGGGGGATTTTCAGAGATCTACAAGGATGACACCAAATTGACTAAGCAATAGTGGAGAGACCACCTTAAATGCTCCTCCCTGATAATGAGTTTAACAACTACCTTATATGCCATGCTAGAGCCTTCATCCAGTGGCTGATGGAAGCAGAGGCAGACACCCACAGGTAAACACTGAACTGAACTCCTCGATCCCAGTTGCAGAGAGGGAGGAGTGACGAGCAAAGGAGTCAAGACCTGGCTGGTGAAACCCAGAGAGGCAGCTGACCTGAACAAGGGGGAGCTCATGGACCCCAGACTAGTGACTGAGAGATCAACATGGGACTGATACAGACCTCCTGAATATGGGTGTCAGTGAGGAGGCCTAGGCAATCTATGGGGCCTTTGATAGTAGATCAGTATTTATCCCTGGCATACAAATGGACTTTGGGAGCCCATTCCACATGGATGAATACTCTCTCAGCCTGGACACATGGGGGAGGGTCTAGGCCCTGCCTGGGATGAAGATTCCCTATGGAGGGCCTTACCATCCCTGGAGAGTGGAGGGGGAGGGGTGGAGAGTTAGGGGAGGTTGGTGGAGGGCATGGAAGGAGGGGATGATGAGGGAGTTTGGATTAACATGTGAAGCAAGTTTGTTTCTAATTGAAATAAAAAAGAAAAAGAAAAAGAAAGATTTCAAAAAATATTTTAGCTTACAACACTATTTATTGGGATATTAAATATCTTAAATGGATCTCTTAAAACTTAAACTTTCTGACACATTCAGAGAAAGACCCACATGATTTTCTCTTAGACAGAATACTATTGGTGTTATAAATGGCAATTTCCTTTTCTGTGAGCTGTGCCAGTGAAGCAGCTCTGTAAAATCTGTATTTACACTGCTTACCTACCGCAAGAGGTGCATGCTTCAGAAGCACTGATATTTTTAGTGACAATGACATTATCATTAGCCAGGTTTCAGGCTTGATCAATTACTTTGCAGAAAGCCTCACTGCCTTTTATTTGTTTATGATTCAAAAAAGGACACTTTACAGAAGAAATACCATGGTGATCACAGAGTAGAATATTTTCCAATTAGACTCCCAAAACATTACTATATCTTTAATAGTAAAGAGTAAATCTCTTTATTTTTTGTTTTTAAAGGAACAGAAAAGACTAAACTGTAAATATAAAATTGTTGGTCATCATATTTAGGAACAGAGAGTGATTGCATTTGTCCAAAGAAATCCGTAACAATTTAATACATACAATATCACATCTTTTAATGACACAAAGATTCCTAATCAGAATTATTATTAATAATAGATTAACTATTTACCATTTTTAAAAGGAGACTAAACCAAATTAAGTGCATGAAATGTGTTATATCAAAAACAATTAAGAAATACAGAATTTCAAATGATTGAAGAGCTACCTGGGGAAAAGCAAGATGATGACATAATCTTTATTTGAGTACTATATATGAACACATCCATGTATTAAAAGTGCATGCAAAACCACAAAGAGAAAGAAATGAGTTTGCTCATTGTTTCTGTATAAAGGTAGAGCAGAATATGATGGGGAAAGGGGACACAGGTTAAAAAATATTGCAAGCACACATGGTAGTGGTGAAATGTGCCCTTTAGTCACCTGTTCTTTTAATCTTAATAGGTCGTATCTTTATAGAAACCAATAGTTAAAAGAAGGAAATGGAGTTCTGATAAAAAAGAAGCAGAAACAGCTCTTTAGGGAAGAGTTATAGCTAATGTGAGTTTTTTCCCCATTTGGACATTCATGAAGAAATACTTCTGGCTTGCTTTTCATCAACTGTCTTCTTGCTTCCATGAAAAATATATAGCTTGTCACTTATGAAATCTCCATATGTTTACCCTATGATTCAAGGTAAAGGGATTTTTTGAGAAACAAGTATAATCAATACATTTTATGACAAACTGAGAAAAATGCATTTAAAAAATAATGAACACCAGTAATACATTCAAGTGACTGCTAGACTGTAATAATGTGTATCTTTATTTAAAATTCAGGCTGTCGTAAGATTTTTCCAAAAGAGGACAGCGCTTTTTAATAACAAACAATATCATTCAAAGAATTACAAAATGGATCTTCCTTGTCTTAGAAGAAATTCATGAAGCCTTTAGAAATTTCTCTAGGTAAGTGGAGCTATGGAATCCTTTGTGTATTATAAATGATCTCTTGTGACTACAAGAGAAAACAATTGTCTTAACTGGGAAATGTCACTAAACATGCTACAATAGTGAAATAGATTAACTACGGACTTACCTCCATAGAGGTGTCTATACAGGGGGAGGCTTGAAATCTCATTGCCTCTGTAAACACGTTTTAAGAGTAGGATTGGCTAAAATCAAAAACACCAATGACAGTTTATGCTGGAGAAGATGTGGAGAAAGAGGAACACTCCTTCACTGCTGGTGGGAGTGCCGACTTGTACAGCCACTTTGGAAATCAGTATGGAGATTCCTCAGGAAAATGGGAATCAGTCTACCACAAGACCCAGTAATTCCACTCTTATGTGTATACCCAAAAAATGCACATTCATATAACAAGGAAGTCTGTCCCACTATGTTCAAAGCAGCATTATTTGTAATAGCCAGAACTTGGAAGCAACCTAGATGCCCCTCAACTGAAGAGTGGATAGAGAAAATGTGGTAATTTACACAATGGAGTACTACTCAGAGGGAAAAAAACAACGGGATCAGCCTACAATCCCATGGCCAGAGAGTCTGGGAAACAGAGCCTTCATTTAGTGGCTGATGGAAGCAGAGGCAGACTCCTACGGCTAAGCACTGAGCTGAACTCAAGAAATCCAGTGACAGAGAGGGAGGACTGATGACCAAAGGGATTAAGACTGGGCTGGTTTAACCCCCAGAAACAGCTGACCTGACAAGGGTTAGCTCTTGAATCCCAGACTGATGCCTGGGAATCCAGCATGGGACTGATCAAGACCCCCTGAATGTGGGTGTCAGTGAGGAGGCCTAGGTAATCTATTGAGCCTTGGGCAGTGGATCAGTATTTATCCCGGGTATACAAATGGACTTTGGGCTCCCATCCAACAATGTGAGATGCACTCTCACACTGGACTCTTTGGGGAGGGTATAGTCCCTGCCCTGGATGAAATGACAGACTATGGACACCCCCATGGAGGGCCTCACCCTCCCTGGGGAAATGAGGGAATATGGGAGACTTGGGGGGAGGGCACCGGAGGAGAGGAGGGAAACGGAGAGGGACCTGGAATTGACATGTGAAGCAACCTTGTTTCTAATTTAAATTTAAAAATAAATAATAAAAAATTTAAAAATGGAATCATGAAATTTGAGGGCAAATGGACAGCACTAGAATAAACCATCCTGAGTGAGGTAACCCAGTCACAAAAAGAGAAACATGGTGTGTACTCACTCATATATGGATTGTAGACATGAATCAGGGGAGTGCCAGCATACATTCCCACTGCCAAGAGAGTCTGGGAAACAGAACCTTCAGCCATCGACTGATGAAACAGAGGCCGACACCCATAGCTAAACACTGAACTGAACTCCTGGAATCCAGTGACAGAAACAGAGAACTGATGAGCAAAGGAGTTAAAACTGGGCTGGTTTAACCCACAGAAACAGTTCACCTGAACAAGGGGGAGCTCTTGGACTCCAGACTGATGGCTGGGTGGAGTGGATGGGACTGACCCAGACCCCCTGAATGTGGGTGTCAGTGAGGAGGCCTA